CACTGCTCAGTCCGATCAGCGATCCGATTAGTTATCGTAAACACCCTGACACTCATTGGCCTAGTTTATACCGATTTTTTGATACGCGTATCATATAGTATATTGGAACTGATCAGCCAATAATCAGACTTATTTACTAGTTATTTACTATTTAATACGCGTATCAAGTGATCGGTGTAAACTAGGCCATTGGCCGCGTTCAACAGACACAACTGTTGAGTTCGTCTTATCAACACTCTGCGTTAATTGGTTGGTTCTAAAAGTAAGAGCCAATTACGATTGACTGCTACTCAGCGGCTTGGTCTGCTGAACGCGCCCATTTTCAACAAGAAATTGGCCGTATCGTCCACTGACAAGAGGCGGGTGCCATTAAACAAAAAAGAAGTTGAAATCGTACGCCGTATTGTCCTCTGAAAAGAGGCAGGAGCTAAGAAAATATTATCCCAATTTGGAATAGATAACTTAAAAAGAAGAAAAAAAGAAGGAGAAGACCGCGTTTTTCATTATTGCATACTGAGATTTGTGAGTTCAGTCAAACTTGTGAGTTTGAATCTTGATAGAGTCAGAGTTAAAGGTTATGGACGAGAGTAAGTATATAATACCACTAATGTATAACTCCGAAAAAAAAAGAATACACATATTATACTCTTTTCGCGAGTATAATTAGTTGTACAACTTGTGAGACGTAATATAATTAATAATTATATAATTTTTGTGATAAGATGTTGGTGAAATCGAGCATTAATGTCTCTCTCCAATATGTTTGTTTAAAATATAATCAGACTTTAATCAAGTCTAACATTTGGCAACATTTTATTATTACAGACGAAAATGTAGTAGATGAGCAAATGCAAGTAGAAGAGCAAAATGCAGAAGATCAGCACGAAAATGAAAATGTTCTTCCTAATGGGGAACAAAATAACGAAGACATTGACATTCGAACTGATTGTGGGAGTTCACAACGAAGTATGTATTATATCGTAATAGAATAGTTGTAGCATAAAAATAAAACTTTCTAAATATACGTATACAGAAATATATCTAAAAATTAAATCTCTTACAGCAAATACAGCGAGTGCAAACTTGGATGTCTCAGATATAGATTCTGATCAGGCATGTCCAATATGCATGGAACAATGGACCAGCTCGGGAGAACACCGCTTGTGTTGCTTACGCTGCGGACATTTGTTTGGGCACAGTTGTATTCTGAAATGGCTACAGTACTCCTGCAACAGTACGAATCGCCGTTGTCCACAATGCAACAAGAAAGCTGCCGTGAAACATATTAGGATGCTATATGCAAAAAAACTGACAGCAATTGATTCTACTGAATACAACAATCTGAAGAAGGATTTGCTTAATGTGTCAACTGAAAAGAATCATTTGCGGATGGAATTAACACAAGCCAATATTCGTCTAAAAATATACGAGGAACAAATAACTTGCATGAAGAAACGTATTACCGAATTGGAAAGTCAAAAATCAAGAATCAATATTGATACTGGCCAGAGTGGTTCAAGTCTCTCTATTTCAAGAAAGTTTCATTTAGAACAATCTGTAGAAATCTGTAAAGAGGGCGGTTGTCGCGTCTTGGATTACAATCCATGGCACAAATTCCTGGCTGTTTCCCAGAAATCATCAAACACGCTATTCAACGGGTATGGCATAAGGAAGATGGATTGCGAATACTTTAATTTACGGCAATTTATTTTCTTACACACTCAGGCTATAAGAGACGTAACTTTTCATTCAACGCAACAAACAATTCTTCTTAGTGTTGGCTTTGATAAATGTGCAAAGCTAATGGACATCCAAAGTAATATGATAGTGCACACATACCAAACAGAATATCCACTTTGGAGTTGTTGTTGGTCAGGTGATAATCCAAATATTTTTCTAACTGGCGCGCAAAATGGAACGATCTCTCAGTTTGATATTAGACAAACTTCCTGCGCTGTTAACGTTTTGGAAGGTAATGGTGATAAGACACCAGTTGTATCAATGGCAACAGTGCCGCCAAATCCTGGCAGTGGAATCAGCAGAGGTGGATTTATAGCATGTCGCTTAAATTCATGTTATACATACGAAGTTAAGGACACCTTTTATCTATCTAAACAGATGTTTTTGGAGGGTCCTTTTATCTCTGTGCGCTATGATGAAAAAAATCATCATTGTCTTATATCATCTCGCCCTAATTCCAGGCAACCGCATGCAAGACACATAATATGTACTATTGAAAAGAATACGTCTAACGAAGAAATAGTTACATATAATGCGGTGCATACATTCCAGGCTGGTAATTCTCAACACCTTTTATCTCGACCATGTTATTTATCTGCGGAAGATGACACATTAGTCGCAGCATATATAGAATCAAGTAGCAGTATATCATTATGGAGTATAGCAAGCGGCCAAAAGTTATATCATCTTCCAGTATCGGATCCTGTTATGGATCTATGTTCATTTAATATTAACAATAACTTATTCTTAACAAGTCTTTCTGCAAAAAAGCTTAGACTATACAATTATGGACAATTAACATAAACGTAAAGTACAAACGTACAAAATGATACACAATCTACCTCGCCACTTGCTGTGCTTGATACTTGGTGCAAGACACAATGGTATCTTTTGATACAATATTTTTATATGTAACAGACTGACTTAAAACATCTTTTCTTTGTAATAATATCATATGTATATATAGATAAATTTTGATTAATGCAAGGAGAAATATATATATATATATTCAGTAATTCAGTAATTATTTCTACAAACTACTAATCATATTTGTATACAATATGAAGTCATATTTGTACATAGCAATTTTAATGATGTTTTCAGCAGGAAAGACATTTTCAATAACTTATCACAGTAGATAGTCAATTTTACATAGAAATATTTTTATATACTACTTTCGTATATATAAGCTATAATACAAAAAATTTAGCAAGAGATTTATGTTCCGCCATCTGAATGATGCCAACGGGATATATATATATAATAAATCAGTATTAAATGACAATAAGGTGGAAATTCCGTTATTATAAACACATTATTAACAAAAAAATATTAATATAAAAATTTATGTACTGAGTCTGTACGGGGGAAAAAAGCAAAAAAGAGAACTTTTCTATTCTGGGAAAAATTAGATATATGATAAGGAAAAAATTTACGTATCCAGAATCCAGTCAGAACAATGAAAACAGAACTTTATTTTTTCATATTATTAAACATTACAGCAATTAAAACATCAAAGAGGATGATGGAATCACATCCATAAACAAACCCATATGTAGGATAATACATCATGGGCCAGATATTTAAAAGAAAAAATGATAATTAAAAAGAGGGCAACCTTATGTATGACCTTGACCTTGATATATGGCGTCAAGATCACTCTTCTGAGCCCCCCCCTTCAGAAGGTTTTAGCCGTCGCTCGTTTTTTATTAAAAAGTTATTAACAAAAAAAGTTTCGAAAATATAGCAGTTATTTTAAGTATTGAGAGGCATACAACTAACATTACGTCTTTCTTTTAAGTATAGAATATCTCGTTTCGCGTGAAAGTCGCTACTTTACGAAAACAACATTTAAAGGCAGTAAATTGTTGATAAATTGAAGTCTTTTTGTTAAAGCAGAGAATACTTTATTTCGCGAGGAAGTCGCTGCTTTACCAAAACAAGTAAATTTTCTTTTGAAATAGAG